AACAACAACAACAACCCCCTCCTCAACAACAAAGAGTAAAAGCAAAAAGCCAAGAAGAATTATTACAAGAAAAAGCACGTAAATGGCAACAATTAACATCAAAAAGATATTCATCTCGTGAATTACCTAATATAAATAATAATAATAATAATTATATAGAAAAAGATGCAATGCCTCCTGAACATTTACGTAAATTAATAAAAGATCATGGAGATATGAGTAGTCGTAAATATAGACATGATCGTCGTGTATATCTAGGTGCATTAAAATTTCTTCCTCATGCTGTATATAAATTATTAGAGAATATGCCTATGCCATGGGAGCAAGCAAGAAATATAAATGTATTATATCATTCATCAGGTGCAATAACATTTGTTAATGAGGTACCATTTGTTATTGAGCCAATATATTTAGCTCAATGGGGTAGTACATGGATATTAATGAGGAGAGAGAAGAGGGATAGACGTCATTTTAAGCGCATGCGTTTTCCTCCATTTGATGATGAGGAACCACCTCTTGATTATGGAGAAAATGTACTTGCTGTTGAGCCATTAGATGCAATAAGAATGGATCTAGATGAGGAAGAGGATGCATGCGTTATGGATTGGTTATATAATAATAAACCCTTACAATATAATAATAATTATGTTAAGGGTCCAAGCTATAAAAGATGGAGATTAGAGATACAACAATTATCTGTATTACAAAGATTAGCTCATCAATTATTATCTGATTTACAAGATAATAATTATTTTTATTTATTTAATCTTTCCTCTTTTATTACATCTAAATCTCTTAATCTAGCTATACCTGGTGGACCTAAATTTGAGCCCCTTTTTCGTGATCATTTTGATCAGGATGAGGACTGGAATGAATTCAATGATGTAAATAAAATTATTATTAGACAACAAATAAGAACAGAGTATAGAGTTGCATTTCCTCATTTATATAATAATAGACCTAGACATGTTGTTCTTTCTCCTTATCATTCTCCTGCTGTTTCTTTTGTTAAACCTGAGGATCCTGATCTTCCTGCTTTCTATTATGATCCTATTATTAATCCATTACCTGCATACAAAATGAATGCAGATACAGATGCTCTTATAGGTAAGATAAATTTATTCTTATTATTATTTATACTTCTTATATGTTTATTTATTATTTTGCTCTTTTTTTTATAAGGATTTCCTCTTTTTTTTCTTTCTCTTCTTATGAGGAGTACAACGATGTATATCTATTTCGGGTTTTATCTTGTTCCTCTCTTTCTGTCTCCTTTTCTTCTTATTAAAGAATTATTATTATTATTATTATTATTACTATATTATTAATATAATTAATGTGTTTGTTTGTGTGTTTATCTATGCAGATCCATCGATAGTAGAAGGATTCGAGTTACCAGCAGCAATGCGTCCTTTCCTAGAGGAGAGTCCTCTATGTACGGATACAACAGCAGCAGGAATATCATTATATTGGTCATGTAGACCATTTAATTTACGTGCAGGACGTATGAGGAGAGCACAGGATATACCATTAGTACAGACATGGTTTAGGGAGCATGCACCACAGAATTATCCTGTAAAAGTACGAGTTTCTTATCAAAAATTACTTAAATGTTGGGTATTATGTCATCTACATTCTAAGCCACCTAAATCATTAAAGAAAAGGAATTTATTCCGTGTATTTAAGACAACAAAATTCTTCCAATTAACAGAAATAGATTGGGTAGAGGCAGGATTACAGGTATCTAGACAAGGATATAATATGTTAAATTTATTAATACATCGTAAGAATTTAAATTATTTACATTTAGATTATAATTTTAATCTAAAACCTGTTAAAACATTAACAACAAAAGAAAGAAAAAAATCTAGATTTGGTAATGCCTTCCATCTATGCAGAGAAATATTACGACTAACTAAATTAACTGTTGACTCTCATGTACAATTTCGTTTAGGAAATGTAGATGCATTCCAATTAGCTGATGGATTACAGTATATTTTTGCCCATGTTGGGCAACTTACAGGAATGTATCGGTAAGTTTCTTCTATATATTATTTATTTATTTATTTATTTATTTATTGTTATTATTGTTGTTATTATTTATATAAGAATTAAATAATGCAAAAAAATGGTCTATTTAATATGTATATATATATGTATATATGTATTGAATATGTTTATCTATACCCTGTACCACTGTTATACATTATTTTTTTTCTTGTTTTTTCCTGTATTTGTTTGTTTTTTATTCAATAATATTATAATTAAATACATTATTATAATAAATATATAAATAAATATATTTATTGTGTGTGTTTGTTTCTTTTTTCTTTTTTTTTTGTTCAGTTATAAATATCGTTTAATGCGTCAAGTACGAATGTGTAAGGATTTAAAACATTTAATTTATTATAGATTTAATACAGGGCCTGTAGGTAAGGGTCCTGGTTGTGGTTTTTGGGCACCAGGATGGCGTGTATGGTTATTTTTTTTACGTGGTGTATTACCTTTATTAGAGAGATGGTTAGGTAATCTATTAGCTCGTCAATTTGAGGGTCGTGTATCTAAGGGTACAGCAAAGACGGTAACAAAACAGAGGGTAGAGTCACACTTTGATTTAGAGCTAAGGGCTGCAGTTATGCATGATATATTAGATATTATGCCTGAGGGAGTTAAGGCATCCAAGGCAAGAACAATTCTTCAGCATTTATCCGAGGCATGGAGGTGCTGGAAGGCTAATATACCATGGAAGGTACCAGGACTACCTGCTCCTATAGAGAATATGATCTTAAGGTAAATTTACTATTATTTATTTATTTCTTTCTTTATTTGTTTGTTTATTGTTGTCTAGATGTTTATTATCTATTGAATGAGGTATTATAGTGGTGGTGTTCATAGTAATGTAGACTTGGGAGGTAAATGAGGTATTTATTTATATATGCATATATGTGTATGTTTTTCTTTTTTTTGTGGATAATATCTATTTATGTATTTATTTAATTAATTTTATTTGTTTATTTTGTTTATTTTGCAGATATGTGAAGATGAAGGCAGATTGGTGGACAAATGCTGCATATTATAACAGAGAGAGAATAAGGAGAGGAGCAACAGTAGATAAGACAGTTTGTCGTAAGAATTTAGGTAGATTAACACGTTTATGGTTAAAAGCTGAACAAGAAAGACAGCATGCATATCTAAAAGATGGTCCATATGTAACAGGAGAGGAAGCAGTAGCTGTGTATACAACAGCAGTGCATTGGTTAGAATCAAGAAGATTTACTCATATACCTTTCCCTCCTCTTAATTATAAACATGATACAAAGTTATTAATACTTGCATTAGAAAGATTAAAAGAATTTTATTCAGTTAAGTCTAGACTTAATCAGAGCCAGAGGGAAGAATTAGGTCTAATTGAGCAAGCATATGATAACCCTCATGAGGCATTATCACGTATAAAGAGGCATCTTCTTACACAGAGAGCATTTAAGGAATTAAGACTTGAATTTATGGATCTTTATTCTCATCTTATTCCTATATATGAGATAGATCCATTAGAAAAGATTACGGATGCATATTTAGATCAATATTTATGGTATGAAGGGGATAGTAGACATTTATTCCCTTCATGGATTAAACCTGCAGACAGCGAACCTCCTCCTCTTCTTGTATTCAAATTCTGTCAAGGAATTAATAATCTTACAGATGTATGGAATACAAGTGATGGAGAAAGTCTTGTCCTATTAGAAAGTAAATTCGAGAAAGTAAGGCAAAATCGACGGTTTAGGGTTTAGGGTTTAGGGTTTGAGGAGTTGGTAAAGAAAGAGGGTGTTCTTTGATGGATGTGTTTCGTTCTTTGCACATCTGTATTCCTCTCTTTTTGGGGGGATTTCCAAATTAGGGTTTAGGGTTTAGGGTTTAGGGTTATGATGTTGTGTGTGTGTATGTGTGTATATAGGTGTATGAGAAGGTAGACTTAACATTATTGAATAGATTATTACGTTTAATTGTAGATCATAACGTTGCTGATTATATAACAGCAAAAAATAATGTTAGTATAAGTTTTAAGGATATGTCACATATTAATTCATTTGGTCTAATTCGTGGTCTACAATTTTCTTCTTTTGTCTTCCAATATTATGCACTTATTCTTGATCTTCTTCTATTAGGGTTAACAAGGGCTACAGAAATTGCAGGACCCCCTACCCTACCTAATGAATTCCTTTCTTTTACCGATGTACAAACAGAAACAAGACATCCTATTCGTCTTTACTGCAGGTATGCATTGCCTAGCTACCCAGGTAGACAGAGAGGCGCAGGGGAGAGAAGTTGCCGGTTAGCCAGCAAGCACTAGCGAGTTAGAGCTGTATTCTGTGTATATATGTGTTTTTCCCTAGTGTATATATATAATTTTGTTGATTATTGGGGTGTATGTGCAGGTACATCGATCGTTTCTGGGTCGTCTTTAAATTTACAAAAGACGAGAGCAGAGATTTAGTACAAAGATATCTAACAGAAAACCCTGATCCTAACAACGAAAATGTTGTTGGTTATCCTAATAAAACATGCTGGCCAAGAGATTGCCGTATGAGAAGGTATTATATATACTACAACTCTAAACCCTAAACCCTAATTCCCTCCTAAACCCTAACTCCATAATATAAACCTTAAACACCCGAAGGTAGCAGAAGAACAACGCAGGCAAAGCAGCTGTTAATACAAATTAAACCAAAAGAATAATACGAGGAACATTTGAATAGAATTGAGTGTATGATACTCCCTAGTGTTTAGGGTTTAGGGTTTATGCCTTTCTGTGTGTATTTTTTCATTACAGGATGAAGCGTGACGTGAATCTGGGTCGTGCCGTATTTTGGGAGATATCTAACCGTCTCCCTCGCTCATTAGCGGCATTGAATTGGTCTTCTTCTTTTGCCTCTGTATATTCAGTAGATAATCCAAATTTATTATTCTCTATGGGTGGATTTGAGTGCCGTATTCTACCAAAGATACGCATGCAGAGTGAAGAATTCTCTCAGAGAGAAGGGGCATGGAAATTACAGAATGAGACAACAAAAGAATTAGCAGCACAGGCATTCCTTAAAGTAGGAGATGAAGGAATGAGAAGATTTGAGAATAGAGTACGAATGGTATTAATGTCTAGTGGTGCGACAACATTTACAAAAATAGCAAATAAATGGAATACAACATTAATTTCTTTAATGACGTATTTCCGTGAGGCAGTAATTCATACAGAGGCCTTATTAGATTTATTAGTTAAGTGCGAGAATAAGATACAAACAAGAATAAAAATTGGATTAAACAGTAAAATGCCTTCACGTTTCCCTCCTGTTGTATTCTATACTCCTAAAGAATTAGGAGGATTAGGTATGTTATCTATGGGGCATATATTGATACCTCAATCGGATCTACGTTATAGTCAGCAGACAGATACAGGTATAACACATTTCCGTTCAGGTATGTCTCATGAAGAAGATCAATTAATACCTAATTTATATCGTTATATACAAACATGGGAGAGTGAATTCATTGAATCACAACGTGTATGGGCAGAATATGCATTAAAGAGAGGGGAGGCAGCAGCACAGAATCGTCGTCTTACTCTTGAGGATTTAGAGGACAGTTGGGATAGAGGTATACCCCGTATAAATACATTATTCCAGAAGGATCGTCATACATTAGCGTATGATAAGGGATGGAGAGTAAGAGAGGACTTCCGTCAATACCAGCAACTTAAGGCTCACCCCTTCTGGTGGACCCATCAGAGGCATGATGGTAAACTATGGAATTTAAATAACTATAGAACAGATATGATTCAGGCATTAGGAGGAGTCGAAGGTATTCTTGAACATACACTCTTTAAGGGAACTTATTTCCCTACATGGGAAGGTCTCTTCTGGGAAAAAGCTTCAGGGTAAGATACTCTACTCTTATTTATTCTTTATTTTATTTTGTTGGGGTTCGTTTGATGTATGCATTGTATTTTTGTATTATTATTAGGGTTTAGGGTTTAGGGTTTGTGTTTCTGTATGGGGTTTCTTATGTGCTCAGGTTTGAAGAGAGTATGAAGTATAAGAAATTGACTAATGCGCAGAGATCAGGTCTTAACCAAATTCCTAACAGAAGATTTACTCTCTGGTGGTCACCAACTATTAACAGAGCCAATGTATACGTTGGTTTCCAGGTCAGTAGGGTTTAGGGTTTAGGGTTTAGGGTTTGGATATTAGCGGTTTGTTGTTGTGTAGGATGCATAAATGGACGAGGCGGAGCTTTGGTTTCAATATGGATGGATATGTGTTCTAAAGCTTTAGTGAATTAGAGTTTAGGGTTTAGGGTTTAGGGTTTAGGGTTTGGCGTGTATATGTACAGGTGCAACTCGATTTGACGGGTATATTTATGCACGGCAAGATTCCAACTTTGAAGATTTCTTTAATTCAAATCTTCAGAGCCCACTTATGGCAAAAAGTTCATGAATCTATTGTCATGGACTTATGCCAGGTAATTAGGGGTTTAGGGTTTATGGTTGGTATTTATATATTATGTGTATATATTGTATATGTAAATATATATAATATATACATATATTAGGTACATATATATGTTACATCCTTTCTGCTGCTGCTGTTTGCATGCGCTTGTGTTTCTTCGGTGTTTCTTTGTTTGCCCGTGAAACATAAGAATGCCGCGTGTCTGATCTCTAGGGTTTAGGGTTTAGGGTTTATGGCCAAGGATGACCGTATAGTCATGCTAATTTGGAGGGGTCGCCATAGGCGTCTTCATTGAAAGAAACCAAACTTCTCATTACACACCTGAAGGCCAAACTATAAACCCTCGTGTATACCCTAACCCTAATTGCAATGTTTCCCGTGTTGTATATATATATATATATATA